TTTCTAATTGGTCCTTTTTCATATCCTTGAGGATCTCACTATATTTCTCGGAGGTTTCTAGAAGATTCTTGAGTAACCTTATAACCGTGGTTTTGAACTCTATATCCAGTAGTTTGCTTTCCTCCATTTCTTTCATTTGTGATTTCTTTGTCTCTGCATTTTGGCTGCTTCCCTGTGTTGATAGAGTGGCTTTGTGTGCTAGGTGTCCTATAGGGCCCAGTGGCTCAGCCTCCCTAATCACCCGAGGTGGACACTCTTGGTGCATCCCTTTGTGGGCTGTGTGCACAGTCTTGTTGTAGTTAAGCCTTGCTGTTGGTGTCACTGGGAGAAATTGACCTCCAGGCCAATTGGCTCTGAGGACCAGTTGTGTCTACAGTGGAAGAACTTCTGTACTGGAGACACCCTTATGAGGCAGGACTTGTTTCAGTGGGGCTTTGGCGCTCACTGAGTCTGCCCCCTGAGTGTGTCTCTCATGGATGTGAAGAGTTGTATTCTGGATGGTCTCACTCTGACCACTGGATAAACTGGCTCTTGGATCTCCAAGGAGTTGCAAAGTCAGCCACTGCCTGAGGTCACTCAGCAGGAGCTACAGAGAGATCTGCAGATTCCTCCTCTTTGTTTGGGGTTTGGAGGTGCCCAGATGAGGCTCAGCTGTAAAGCAGTGCAGGCTGCTGACAGCCTTAGGCTTTCTTTTGGAAGCTCTGGGGTTCTCTGACCCAGCTGCAGTTTGACAGGTTTTTAGGCGGAGAAAAGCCAGGCCATTTGTATGCAAAAGCCTCTGCACACAGCTTGGGTGGGGTTGTAAATTGAGTGGGGCGGGGTCTCAGGGAATCACCAGGGCAGAGCAAATAGCAATGGTTTCCCGTCAGCCCTGCCCCTATAGGTCCCTGGGTCTCTGTGTCCCACCGCCCAATGCAAGAACAATGAATGCTGTGAGCACCTCTGCGAGAAAGCCGCCCTCACGTTGCGGCCCGTATGAGTCTGGGTCCCCAGATTCTCACCCGTAACTAGAGTTCAGAGCAGTCGGGAGCTTGTATCTCCCTCCTGATTGAAAAAGACAACAGCGTACCCAGCTGCCAGCCCCTTTTGCGCGCCTCTGTACCTCTGCACTTCTGCACCTCTGCACCTCCTACCCGCTTCAATGCGCTTTTCTCTTTCCTTCTAGTTGTAGAATTTCCACTTAGCCAGCCTTCCTGTGGTTCTGGATGATGTTCGTTTTTTCTTTTAGTTGTAGTTTTAATGTGGTTTTGCACTGCAGCAAGTTCAGGTGTTTACCTATGCCACCATCTTGGTTGTCTTTTCTTACCAATATTTGAGCATTCCTTTTAAATATTGCCTTTACGTTACACACTTTGGAAGTCATTGTGTATCAAACATTGCTATGATGATTTAATGCACAGTATCGCAGTTAACTACTGTTCCAAAAGGGAGCCCTTTCCTTTTATTATATTAAAATGTTCTTTTCAAAGATTAACACAGGCATTTTTTTTATTGTAAAATAACATTTTTATTGATCATAAGAAAGATTCTTGGTTTTCTTTAATAGAAGTGTCTTGTTCTTTGTTTTTTGTTGCTATTTGTTGTTGAATACATTTTAAACATTGATTATTTAGGAAATATAAAAGTAACCTCTAAGCCCTGGCTGGTTTGGCTCAATGGATAGAGTGTTGGCCTGCAGAGTGAAGGGTCCTGGGTTCGATTCTGGTCAAGGGCACATGCTCGGGTTGGAGGCTCAATCCCCAGTGTTGAGGGGTACAGGAGGTAGCCAATCAATGATTCTCTCTCATCATTGATGTTTCAATCTCCCTCTCTCTCCCTTCCTCTCTGAAATCAATAAAAATATATATACATGTAACCTCTAAGATGTGTGTGAGAACATGACCCATTGTTGTGTTACACTGGACCATGCCTCGAGTTTGGTATTATGGCTCTACCAGGTTGATGTCTCTGCCCTTTAAAAGTATGTTATAGTTACTTTAATCTCAAGAGTAACATGTTTTTCAGTATTTGTAATTTTAATTAGTAGTTTGTTCTAAAACTCTAGTATCCCGGATTCTAAATTTTCATGAAATACATTTATATTTCGGCCTGCTTCTCCAGAGAGAGAGAGAGAGGGAGAGGTAGAGGGAGAAGAAGAGAGAGAGAGAATGAATGAATAATGTGTGTGTTACCCAGAGTGCATTGCTAAAAGGTACAAAATTCTGTTAGTTTTAGCATTCTGGGCTTTTCAATAAAAGTAATTGTTCACCTGAAATGTTTTAGACATAGGCCAGCAGTTCTCAACCTGTGGGTCACGACCCCTTTGGGGGTTGAACGACCCTTTCACAGGGTCGCCTAAGACCATCGGAAAACACATATATAATTACATATTGTTTTTGTGATTAATCACTATGCTTTAATTATGTTCAATTTGTAACAATGAAATTGGGGGTCACCACAACATGAGGAACTGTATTAAAGGGTCGAGGCATTAGGAAGGTTGAGAACCACTGACCTAGGCTGTCCAGTGTGGGTGGCCCTAGACACAATTTGACTAAAACATCCAGGAACCACTGTGGCTAGTGATTACAAGTGCAGATTCAGAAAGTTCTGTTGAACAGCACTGTTGTAGACTTTCTGCAATCATTACTCGAAATGTTTTTAATGATATAGGAATCAGAGCATTAGAATATCTTCTAGAAATAGGTTTATTGCTATTTTCAAAACCATAACACCTTAACCTTGTCTGGGTGTGCCATAATGTGGGAGCACAAGTTTTAGAGTCATGCTTCCTTACGTTTTACACATCATGGCACACTGATAAACAGGTAGCTCATAGCTCATAGCTCACAGGTTTGGGTGCTCTGCAGAATCCAGGCAAATTTGGCACACCAGTATGCAGTAGCACATACAGCTAAAAGCTCAGTTTCATAGTGGTCTCGGTAATTCATTCCTGGATGTTTTTTATGAACTATAAATACTATTTGATTTTGTTCTCCCTTTTATTCATCCTTTTTATATGTCTTATTCCAAGTGAGGCCTTCTGAGATCTTGACATTTTACAACTCAGAAAAATTTTCAAAGCAAAACTTTATGTTCAAATTAGCTCCTTTATTTGATGAGTTAGCCAAAGAAACATCAATGTTGTAAGGAAATTAGCCTAGTTGGACTTAGAAGGGAAAGAATTCTCCTAAGTGCTGGTGTCTGAGGAATTTGAATTTAAAGATACTTCTTACTATGTATGATTTTTACCTCATTCCCTGATTTTAGAACCTAACCTCCTAATGTTGTTAATTCCTACTTATTTTCTCTCTCCAGCTGTACTCTATTGTGCTTTAAGTGAAGGAACTAGGTATGCTTGTAATGCTTTATTATATTCACTATATAAGTCAGTGCAGTACAGAGCACCTACTAGATCAACTTTTAAGTACTAATTGATATTTGGCTTTACAGAGTAGTCCAGTACATTGTTTTACACCTTTGTGTCACATATGTATGCAGTGTAAACAGTAAACATTCTTTACTCCTAATACTACTGACTCTGGTGGGCTGTCTGGGCTAACATTTTTAACCTGGAAGTGAGATGCTGTCCAGACCCTATGAAATTATATGCATATTTTTGTGTGCATTTAAATTTGTACAATTTCTTGGGAGAGCATGTGTAACTTTCATTAGGTTCTCAGAGTTTCAGAAAGGTAAAATGCCTTGGACCTAGACAATGAAAAAAGCAAAGAAAGCTTTCCAAAATCAAGCTGGGCTTGGAAAAATCACTAAAAAAAAAGAAAATTGTAAAATGCAATGCTGGACAGATTATTGATAAGATATATTGGTCAGTACATTTTTAGGGACATAGTGTTCTTTATAAAGTTACATTATTAAATTCTTCTTTTTGTGTTAATCCTCACCTGAGGTTATTTTCCCATTGATTTTTAGAGAGAGTGAAAGGCGGGGAGGAGAGAAACACACATAGATTGGTTGCCTCCCGCATGAGCATCGATCCAGGTCCAGGATCCAGCATGCCTTTGACTGGAATGGAAACTGGGATCCTTCAGTCCATGGGCTCGTGCTCTGTCCACTGAGCCAAACAGGCTAGGGCTGTTAAATTCTTAGAATGGGCTAATGTAGACCAGAAAATAACCCCTTTCTTGTAGAAAAAGTTGACTTATTTGTTTAAAATGCATATGATGGAGTCTTCCCTAAGGAGGCATTAATGCTTTATAGAAGAACTTGTTAGTAACAGTGGTGAGTGGTACAGTGTATTGCTTTATCTTAATGCCCAATTCTGTAACTTAGATTTTTTTTCCTTAGGAAAATGGCTCTGGTGTCAAAAAGCAAGGAAAAAACCCTGATAATTTTATTTGAACTTGACTGTGAAGTTAGCACCAACTTTGGGTGCAATGTGTCTGATTGTAGTGCCCCTGCAGTGTTTGGGAGCCACAAGAAGAGCTGTGCATACTGAAGGTGCATATAGCACAAAGCATATCTGTATAAGTGTGTTCTGTTTGCAGATTTTTGTTTGAGAGGCCATAATTTGAGTTTATGAATTTATGGCTTAAAATTTCATCTGAAATTATTTTTATATTTAAATATTTTTCCCATTTTAATTATATCTGCCTTAATTTTAGAGTGCATCTTTAGGTTTGCATAAAAGAGCTTATCAAAAGTATATAAGAAAGAAAATTAGCAAGATGATTATTAATGTTTAATGGTGCTATCATAGAATGTTTCACAAGTTGTTGATTTCATTACATTCATGAATTTAATGAAATATTAATAAACCACTAATATTTATTACTTGTGTTCCTGTTTGTTAAAATAGTGTGTCATATTGGTTTATTCTGGGGAGAATTTTTTTTGATGAACCAAAATATTTATGAAAGAACTTTAGATTTATTTTATTTCTGATGGCAGGTTGTATGTAAAGACTTGGAATATGTTAGGGAAAGCATGCAAAGTTCTAAAACTCTAGGGAGTTGGGAGAGAAAAACTAATGCCTATTTTTGTTTGTTTCAATTATACAGCAGATATAATTTCTACAGTAGAATTTAATCATTCTGGAGAATTACTAGCAACAGGAGATAAAGGTGGTAGAGTTGTCATCTTTCAACAGGAGCAGGAGGTAAGTGTTTTATAGTTATAACATAAATTTCAGTTTGCTCTTGGGACTGGAGCTTCTGTTGCATTGGAGAATTTCATCAGAGGATATTGGCAGTTTTTAAAAGAAATGTCTGTTTATTGAGAAGATTAGCCAATGTATACTGTTTCTCTTAGCTTTGTGTGTGTACATGTGTGTGTGCTTTAATTTTTAAACAATGCTTTAATTGTGAAAAGGTTTGTTGGGGAAAAGGGTGGGGAGTGGTGGAGTAATCCAAGATATTAACTGGTTTTGAAGCTTTGGCCCTCTTAATTTTTCTTAAAGCAAAATTGCTTTGACCTCCTCTCACTGCTTAGTTTGCTTTGTGTAGTTGGGGGTGGGGGGGCCAGCTTAAAGAAAAAGTCGCTCAATTATTTTTATGTCAGTCCATACTGATACTGTTATTCTGATTTAAATATAAAGGTTTACATGACAGTTGCATGTATATAAGCTCAGTACCCCTTTTAAAATGGAATTGATTTGAAAATTATTTTCCTTTTCTCTTTGAAGAAAGGAATTTCTCATTGCAGAACCCGCAATTAAAGTGGTTTTTTGTTGTGGGTACAAAAGTTAGGCACACTTCTACATCTGATCGATAGATTTCTCACTAAAATTTTATGTAAACAAAATTTGTCACACTAAATTTTCCTTACTCTTTCTCCATTTGTAGATCAAAATTAAACTTTTAAAATTATTTTTTATACATCCTGCCCTTCTCTACCTATAATATATTTTAAAATAGTTAAGAATAATGTGGGTTATGTACAAGGTTTTACAAATAGATGTCTAAATTATAACACAGAGTTAGGTTTTAAAGGATTGTGAAATTCCTTAAATAAGCAAAGAATCTAGTAATAATACTACTACTTTGCACTTCTATAGCGCCTTTGACCTGAGGATCTCAAAGTGCTTTACAAATACTAATGAATTAATCCTCACAACACCCCAGTGAGGTAGGTAATTTAATTTTAAAAGAAATGATTAATAGTGTCTGATTAGAAGATGCACATACACTAAGTATGTCTCCTTTTATTTATTATTTTTGGTTGGAAGAAAATAAGACTCAAGGTTTTCTTGACAAAGAATATCCTTGTGGGAATGGGGATGCAAAATAAGTTTTCTGTTCCTATTTTCAAGCAGCTAAAAATTTGACCATAAGAATCTTGAAATACTTGGTTGAAACGCAACCTTACAGATTATTACAATTTCAGTGTGTTTACAAATGAGAGTCAAGATATTAAGAGATCACTTGATTACTTAGTGGCAGAACTAACAACTAGAACCCAAAATTTCTGATGTGTCATCTTTTCAATGCTCTTTGAGAACAAAAATATAAATGTTAATTTTGCTGTTCAGAATTTACAGCTGCCTTTCCCATAGGCATTCTCTGCCCTTTAATTTTTTACTGAAATTCAGTGACTTTTCTATACTTTTTTGTTTTAAAGAAAGGTGTTTTGAGAAAAACATTTAAAATTAACTTTGCTTCTTAAACAGTTCCATCTTGCTTACATTGAGGGTTTCTGAGAGTCTACGTTTTTAATGAGGGCCTTATGTTACTTTAAAATCTAAGTTGTTAATTTAAAACTAATTTAGAAATATTTTGCTTGAGAATGAGGTCATTTTCACCAATAGAAGGTGGTTTGTTATTAAAGTAAAAATTAAATGTGAAAAAAATGACTCATTTAATGGAGGAGATTTACTTTAATAGGGATTCAATAAATGTAGTCAAAACAATGCTTAATATTTTCCTAAAGGCTGTCAGTAATATATTGAATTGGAATTAAAGATCTAACATGGAGTTACTGAAACTGCTACACATTTTACTTATATCGGATAATATGGCCAACATTTCCTGTGATTCTTTACTGAAGTTTCATTGAAGAATCTAAAGCACTCATATTTAAAATATATAAGAAGGCATTAGCAAAGTGACTGACATTTTTAAAGGGACACTGGTAGGAAAAAGGGACTTCCTTTTTCATGTATCTAGCATCGTTAACTGCATTTAAGAATTCAAGATAAGATTCATTATCTAGAATCTTGAATTAGTAGTATGTCTTTTGAGAATTACTTAGTATAAATATCATTGTATTTTTTACGTGATAGATTAAATGATGATGATGATAATTGAATTCCCCACCCCGGAACTTGATCTTATTGGCATTAATTTGGTGCATTTTACCTAATTTATTTTCTACATTTTTAAGCCTTCTCGTATACTGGAGTTTCTAATAATAGTCTTGTCATCAGCAAAATCAACACCTACATCATTGAGTATAAACGTAGGTACCTTACACTTCTGGAGGCACCTTTATTTCAGTACCTAACATATTTATATTATATTTTATGAATTCGTGTGTGTGTGTGTGTGTGTGTGTGTGTGTGTGTGTAAAATAGTGTTGCATTTTGAAAAGAGGAGAACTTAGAGATGGTCAAAAATTTGGCTCAATTTTTAAATAAATCCCAGGAAAAGTTTATAACACAAGCTCTGGAATTAGAATTTGGTTCTCTAAATTTCAGTTCAGCTTCTTCTGATAACCACAGCTGTGATGGTACATTCCAGGGTACACACTAGTACCTGTCCAGTGAGTACATCTTAGTCTATGATAATGGTGCTACTGCTGTTTGCAAAACACAATGGCATTTGCACTATTGTGGCTTTATCCTCTCTCCTTCAGCTTCCAGTTTGGCAGGGTTCCTTGCAAAACTTCCCTTGACTGGAGACCATTTATTGTTCACTCTTTTTGTTGTCCTCAGTTATTTAAGAGAGAGTCATGCAGTAACATCAGTGAACCTGGCACATCACATCTTTAACCCACTATTCTGTCTCACTTCTTTTACCCTTCAGACATTGCAGGTCCCCTTCCTATAATCCCATAGGGTATCTCTTGCTGCCTGTATCCCCCAATGAGAGAATCCCAGTAATCATTAGAGGGTCTTGATTCAGTTTAAATATATTTCAGCCTGGTGATACTGTGTCATTTAATAGTATTTTCATAACTAATATGATTGAGTAGTTTTTGTTGGACAGAATCTCTGTAATAGAAGCAGGGCATATAGGGAAGTTTAAGCACAAGGGTAAAATTATTTCCATGAGGCATCACACTCCACCACATGGTCAGTAAGGGTCCAGAATTCAATACCATTTATAAAAAGGGTTTGATTTATTTTGCTATTTATTTAAGTGAAAGAGAAGACCTGATTTAAGGTGATGTAGCATCATTCACATGACATAGTACTTACTGTGTGCAATCAGAGTAGCAAATTGAGACATGTCAGTGGGGAATGGTTGAAGGGATCGAGGTATAGCCAGAAGAGCCTATGAAGAGTCTTGATATTTAGGGATTCGTGTGTAAAGAAGAGATTAGTTTGTGTATGGAAATAAATACATAAGAGTTGGATGCCTGTCAGGAAGAAAGAATACACAACATTCAAAAAAATATCACCATGGTTTCTTTCAAATCAAAATATCTATAAAATAAGGTTCTTTTCTTAACTACCAGGCCTTTTCTATTCTTTTCATTCACACTCTAATCTGCTGTGCTTTTCAGGGTATAAAATGTCAGAATCACCTGGGGCATGTATATAAAATGTAGATTCCTAGACTGCACCTCAAAACCACTAAATCAGAATTTCTGGAGCCTCAAGACTCCCAACACTTTTACTTTTTTTAAAAGTCCTTTAGGGATTTCACCTTATAAAATATACAAAATTAAAATGGTCTGTATTCCAATACCAGGATAATGATAAAAGCTCCAAAATGCAGTTTTAAGTTTATATCATCTAAAAATAATTTTAAGTATTTTTGCCAAGATAGATCATGCATATAGAAAAATGCACAGAATTATAGGTCTACAGTTCCATGAATTTTCACAAAACAAACACTTGTGTAACTTTCCCTTGGATCAAGAAATGGGATCTTGCTCTAGCCGTTTTGGCTCAGTGGGTAGAGAGTCGACCTGCGGACCAAAGGGTCCTGGGTTCGATTCCTGTTATGGGCACATGCAGGCTCCTCCCCAGCCCAGTCTCTGGTGAGGGCTTGAGCAGGAGGCAACCAATCAATGTGTGTTTCTGTCACATCAGTGTTTCTCTTTGTCTTTAACTTTCTCTTCCACTCTCCCTAAAAATCAATGGAAAAATATCCTCAGGTGAGGATTAACCAAAAAGGGGGAGCGGGGGGAGATAATACTGTGGCATTCTAAATAATAATAAAAGTTATTCTTATTTTTTGGTCTGTTTCGAATTTATATGTATCTGGTACATTCAAAGAAATTAAGAGATAACATAGGATTGTGCAGGGGTTCTTAACCTTTTTTGTGCCATTGATTCCCTTCAGTGGCCTTATAAATTCTATGGACTTCTCAGAATGTTTTAATTGCATGAAATACATAGGATTATGAAGGAAATCATATTGAAATATGTTCTCCAATGTATTATAAGTAATGTGTTTTTTATGCTGGAATGTGATTTTTAAAACATGTCATTTCTATAGTGACAAAGTCACAGGTGTTGCTAATACTGTGGTTTGTTGCCTCCATCCATAATTGGAAGAAGTGCTGAATTGCAGCTAGAGGTTAGTGAAAATAAATGTGTTAATTTCCACTGCATCCAAGTTCACAAAATCCCTGGGAGTTTGCATAGTTTATGGGCCCCGAATCTACAACCCCTGATAATGCAATCACTATCCTCCTATATAATAAAAGAGAAACATGTAAATTTACCGTCCCTCCGCTACACTCACCAGCCAATCAGGAGAGTATGCAAATTAACCCGACAAAGATGGCGGGTTAATTTGCATG